TGGAATTCTTGGCATCCTTCTGTATAAGCACATTTCTGTTGCCTCATGTCTCTTCTTCATCTTTGAAGAGATTGTCCATTAACTGCCATATAGGAAGACATATATCAAGTAACAGTTCAGTACGCTTTTCTTTGTTTCTAACAAAGTTTTTCTCTCTCTTAATACTCTGCTTAGCTTTTGGAATGCATCTTTGTCTATTCCAATGTGCCTTTAAATTCCAGTGTCCCACTTTCTTCATCTTTGAGGAGATTGTCTATTGTAGTGATATGTAATTGAGGTTCTGTATAAAAGGCAGTATTGTTATACCTATGAGGGTCTTATCTTCTCTTGATGAGATGACATCTATCAGAGAGAATACCTATCATAACAATATGGCATCACCGATTGGTTATGGATTTGTTTTTGGCCTCAGCAGGGTGTGAGGCCATAAAAAATATCCATCATGGTCTATCCCAAAATGTTGGAAGATTTAGCATATAAAGAAATTGCTGCCATCATAAAAACAAATATACGGCCCAAAAAAGATTGATCATAGCAGAAAGAACTAAATTTATTGAAAGTACGAAACTATTATGTAATATGTACAACAATTGAAAGAAATGTTGAGATATTGTGAGTTTGAAAGAATGAGTTCAAAATAAATGTCTATTGAAGATGAGCTAATTTTGCTAAGATTGATTGAAGGAATATTTGATATCTTGTACAAGTATAAAATTCTAGAGTGACACCAAGCTTATAATATGAATCTGGAAGTATGTGTCAAGTTCTTATTGGAATTGATTAAAAAAATTAACACCTCCAAAGGCAACATGGAGACTTATAGTGCTACTAAAAGCTTACTTGTATGCAGATATTGCAATAAGGAACATGAAAAAGTCAACTTTAGCAAAGTATTTCATATCAGCAAACTCATGGCACATTGTTTCAATGTTTGGCAACAGGAATGTAGGAACATGAAAATAGCAAAAATAAGTGTCCTGCCTTTGGAAAATGGTGTTTTAAGTGTAAAAACTGGAATCATTCCAAGAAGGTATGCACATATGAAAAGCAAGTGGAAAATATAGATCCTCTGGTTAAAAGTACAGAAGTATTTGAGATAAAAGCACAGGATAAAAGTAGGGAAATGGTGAAGTTGAACGGAATGTCATTACTCATGCAGGTGGATATTGGAAGCAATGTTGTGTTGATACCAAGGAATTTTGAGGAAAGAAAGGGTAGACCAAAGTTAAAGAAAATTAATCATCAAAATTTTAGGATGCTTTGAAAGCAAGTTTGAGAGAAAAAATAGATTTGAGATAATACCCATCATAGTGATGGAAAACATCAAAAGTCACGGTCTTTTCGGAATTGTTAAGAGTGGATACATCAAAGCTGATAAATTCCATGAAGTCTGTAGAGCATGATGTTGGATTATAAAGAGGATCTGAGGTGAGTATTTCGCTTAAAAAAAAGCAGTCATATTTTCAAGCCTGAAAAGTTTCTGTTCACATGCTACTCTTGGTGGTTGCTAAGATGGATGAAATGGTGGAACAAGGAATATTGGAAAAACTCAGTCAGGGTGGTAGCAATTGGGCATCACCCATTGTGGTGCTACACAAGCCCAATGGAGAATTAATGATTCATGGCAATTATAAGGTGGGCAGTAATTACTAGATATATTTGGATTCATTCCTGTTGCCAAACATTGAAACAACATGCTATGAGTTTGCTGGTATGAAATACTTTGCTAAAGTTGACCCTAAGTCAGCATATAATCAGATAAAAATTGATAGCAAATTCCAAGAAGTCACCACAAGGAACATCACAATTGGATTAATAAGATGGACTTGTCTGCTGCTTGGGGTAAAAACATTGTCACATTTTCCTAGAAGTCATCCAAAAAGTTTTAGAGAGGATTAAAAATATAATTGTATATCAGGATGATATTGGCATTGGTGCATGTAGCAAAGAAGAGCTCAAAATTAAAATGGAGCAAATTTTGATAAAATTAAATAGCGTAGGTATGACAATTGCGATAAATGTTAGTTTAATTGTGAAAACATTTTGTACCTAGGATATCAAATATCCAAAGATGGTATCTTGACAGATGATAAATTCATTATAAGATATCAGAGATAGCTGCATCTAGAAATAAAAAGAGAATTTCTTTGAGGATTAACCAATTTCTATAACAGATATCTGCCACAATATAGTGACATTGTGGAACCATTTAATGAAATAAAGAAGAAGAATACTGAGTTTCAATGGACAAAAAGACAGGAGGTTGCTTTCGAGAAATTAAAAAAAGGCACTCATAAACAAACCAGTTCCTAAAATCTTTGACCCAGTGAAGGAATATATGTTATCTACTGATGCTAGTAAATGTGCTATAGCCACAATATTGTTACAGGAGGATCACCTTGTAATGTACTTCTCTTGAAAACTAACAGTAGTGGAGGTGAATTATTTGAATATTGAGAAGGAGACATTGGCAATTGCATGGAGCATGGAAGGAGTTAGAATTTTTTTGCTGGGAATGAAATTTCTATTAAAATCTTATCATAAGATTTTGGAAATTATATTTAACTCCAGAAGCGAGTTGTCAAAGGTCACATCTGCCAGGATATTAAGATGGGCAATTAAGCTTATGGCATTCGACTATTACATCATATATATTAAGGATGGCTGTTTTATCCTATATTTGGAACTCATCAGTAGTGCACATCCACTGAAACCCAGACCATTACAATATGATGAAAATGTCATACCAACTGTACCAATGGGCCTCGGTGATGAAGAGGTAAGAAATTAGACTTGATATAGGAAAAGGTGGAAAGTGCTGGAATGCTGAAATTTAAAATTTATTTGCTTTTAGACATGCCAGGGCATGTAATCTAGCCAATTTCATTCTGTTTAAGTATCTATCAAAAATCAACTAATAAAAATGACCTCATAAATTTCTATTCTCACCATAATAACAAAATAAAACCTGGAATAATTATGGGATTATATGGGAGCACTCAGCATTCCAGCAAATCCAACGAATTAAGATACATTGCTCTACTCTCCAACTCTATCCCAACTACAACTGAAAAGAATTTATCTAAACTTAACATAAAATTTGTTACATCTACTTCTAAAACAATAAGAGACTTAATGCAAAAGAAAATAATAATCTAAAATTCCAAGGAGGAATTTACACTATTGCCTGTAATGATTGCTACAGGGAATACATAGGAGAAATCTCTAGAAATTTAAGTAAGAGATTATATGAACACAAAAGAAATCATTTATAAAACATTCAATTCATTAATTGCTCCCTGTAATAAGTCTGATCACCCACCCAACGAAAAAAATTACTTTAATTAAAAGAGAAACAATTTATTAAGGTGAAAGTTTATAGAAAGTGCTTTAAGCACTAGGCCATCAACAGCAAATTCATGTGCCTCTCTTACAACATTTCACCTTTTTTGGTAGATCTATTATCACAATGTAGGATATTTAATAATAAAAGCAGTAAAAACAAAAACAAAAGCATAAGGAAACAGAATAAAAGTGGCTAGAGTATATGCTCAGACATATCTAAAAAAAAAAAAAAAAAAATTCAGCATTCCAACATTTTCAGCATTTCCTCTAAGTGCATCATTATAATTGCTGATTGTGTTTTTATATCTCCTCTACCCCTTCCTACACATATATAATTCCATCAATAAATTTTACTTTAGTCTGTTACATAGAATTTTTTGCACTCTGTCATTCATTTGCTTAACATAATGCTGATATATAAAAATTTATATATCATATTCTCCTAATAAAAAATATAAATTAATAACAATGAGTGTAAATTGTTCTAATTTGCTAGTGTTATCATATGATTATTGTTATCAAAAAGACCCTGTACCAAATTGAACATAATAAATGTCTCCTATATGAGGGCTTTTCTTAGAAGTATAAGAAATGATAATCATTATCATAGTCCAAAGAGATTAAGATAAAGATATGCATAAATATTGGAATTTATGTTGACCATTCATCCATAAAAACTGCTAAGAATTCATATTATTTCATCCCCAGTATTTAAAAATTTTTTTGTTTTGATCTTGAGCTGTTCTAAACACCATATATTTGATTTAATTTTCGGAGAAAATAAAGACAAAAACAAGGCAACCCACACTCAACAAAATTACATTTCAAATTAGACACAACACATTACATTGCATCTAGATGTATGATTCTGTTGTTAATATTTCATTCTCTTGCATGGTATCACGTCATAGAATTGCATCATGAATTTACAACCTGTGTCTGCTATTCTGCGACCATTATCATGGCATAGCAATCTTCTATGTCAGCATAACAGAATATCATCTTTGATGGTGAATATCTTTGTTTAAGTGTCCATATAAACACTCTGAAGATTACTCATGTAAGTCAAAAGCTTAGATCAAGGAACAGTGTAATAAAAAGAATATCAAAATATTAGGCAGTTATTGTCTTTATATTCTCCCAAAATTAAAGCAAATATATGGCGTTTAGAATGGCTCATGATCAAACATAACAGACATTCATTGTCTGTTATATTTAACAATATATGTTTGAACATATATATATATATATATATATATATATATATTGTAATTTTTAAATGTAATTTTTTAATCTGACTTTATTTCTTATTACTATAAATGTTATTTTTAGTTGGTACATGTGTTTGAGTTGCTATCCCTATTTTTTATTTTATTAAAAGAGTGAAATTAATAAAAACTGTCTAAGATTGAGAAGTCCTACTGAAGGAAAATTGTGTCTTCTGAGAGGAATTGAACCTGTATTTCTTTTTCCATCTGCATGTTTTGGCTACAGGAGTGGATCCCCTGAAAGCCACCAGATTAAAAGAAAAAAAAAAAACAAAAATAAGAACCACAAAAGCATCTACCTGAAAATATACAAAGTGCTCAGTAATTTGGAGTAGAAATTTCAATATAGAAAAATGACTTAGGCTAGAGCTGGAATCCAGTCCAAAGATGTCAGAACTTTATGATGGCTACAATGACTTCAAGTTTCATTTGAAGTGATCCACAGATATTTCTGATGATTTTTTTCTCAAAGGAAATATATCTTGTGTGTGTGCCACTTTTTCCTAGAACATACAGATACTACACCCTGATCCTAAGTAGAGATGCCTAACAGTGACAACACTTTGATCCTATGCAGAATATTCAGATACACAAATCCAAGGCAGAGGTATCAATACATGCATGAATAATACAATCATTTTTTATAGCTATGTTGCTGCTAGTAGTAACAACATCAACAATATCAACAATAATAATAATAATAATAATAAATACTCTGATACTGTACTAGGTATGGCTCTCATGGCTTCTGATTTTGATTGGAGGTCTTACATGTACACGTTTTGTCTTGGTGAATTAAGATGGGTTACAGTAAATATCCCATTCCGTACCTAAGATTTATTTGGCCTCAAGCAGTTGGGTATATTCTCTTGGGCTGATGTCTCGGTTCATTTGTGGGGGTAATGGGACAGCCAAGGCGACTTGGGAATTAAATCTAGATACTTGAGAAGATTCTCAATGGGAGTTCATCTGAGCAAACTGTGTCACTGTGTTCGTCTAGTCTGGTTTGATTTGGTTTGGTTTTCTGTATATTGACAGTACTCCTCGCGATTAAGAAAAAGCTGGTGTTATATAGCTCTCAGACCCATGCTGACTATTTTCTAATACCTCCCCAGTATCGTTCATATTCAAATTTTATCAGCACCACATACTGTAAGTAGAATGTCCTCTCTTAACAGCCAATTGTGGAAGAGGATGTAAATCCTGGTGCTTACTGCACCACATGCAGCTGACTTTGGGTCTTTTGTCAAGTTAACCCAATTCTCAGTTATTTTTAGCCAACCTAAAACTGAGCCTCACATACAAAGTTATTCTCTACTTTTATCAAAATCTATCATCATATCATGCACATTTGTATGTGCTGCATGTACCTGGTATACCCTTATCAGACTGGGTGTCATGATGGTGTTGCTTCATCTCGACCAAAGGGAGATAATTGCTTTCTGTATCCCTACAAAGGTATGTGAGATTGTGGAATTTGAAAGAAAATGTCAAGCTGTAAAAAATATCAGAACCTTGTCAGAGAACTGAAACAGTTGTGGAACTAAAGATGACAGTTGTGCCCATCATTAGTGGCATGCTTGGAATAATCCCAAAGATCCTTGCAAGATGATTGGCAGAATTTGAAAGCATTATGGCTAAAGAAAGTGCTAGAGAACTGAGAAGACTTGCTGTCCCTTGATCTCCAATGAAAGTCACTTATCTTCTTTCTTTTCTTTCTTTCTGCAGCCAACTAGCATCTCTGATATGTCTTTTATCTTTCCACACAAGCATACTGGTCATGCACACTCAATCCTCACTGGGTGCACCATACTTCTGGCCTTGTGCCACATCTAAGCTATGCTTAGTAAATCATTTTAGACACTTTGACGTTGTGTAATGGTTAGCAAGCTTGTCTTGCTAGATCAATTATGACTGAATAGTGAGTTTGATCCTCACTGGGTGCCTCATATTTCTGGTTTTGTTCCACACCTAAGCTACTGCATTTCAAGAGTGTAATGATTAGCAAACTTGTCTCTCTAGATCAATTGAGTTCAATTCTCACTGGGTGCTCTATACTTTTAGCCTTGTGCCATATCTAAGCTAGCCTTAGAAAATCACCATAATGTTCATGCTAATTAAGGGAAGGATGAGCAGGATTATAAGATAACAATAATAGCAATGATAATCCATCCTTATGATGAATACAGCAGAAAGTCAAATAGTTTTCATACCATTAGCGTAATAAATACAAATGTAGAAGAGGTGTGACTAAAGTGGATATTAGTAATTTTAAATTTAGGCAGTTTTTTTCCAAAATCTAATGAGCATAGTGGGGGGGATCTGAGGAGGGTATAATTAGTCTAGAATTTATTTTTTTTAAAGAAAGAATGGCATGTAATCATACAGTAAATTATTTAATGAGTGTTAAAACAATTTTCTCCCATGTCTAAATATCTTTTATCTGAATTTCTAGGATGATGAGTTATCATTATTGACACTAGTTACATTCAGACTATTGTCCTCATCTTTGTTGTTGTGATATAGGATCCACTAATAGAGAAAAAAAGACAAATGACAGCAAGTCTCCAGCAGCAGATGTGCCAAAAGAGAAAAAGATTCAGTGAGTGCAGTCAAACATGACAGTCAACAGGCAGGAAGGTTAGGTTTAATGCTCCAAGTTCTCCACAGAGAATTATCCAACACAGGTACAATTGTCTAATGGATTAAAGTGTTGATCCATGAATTTGTGATGTTATTGAGGCCAGAGTGTCCTTGACTCTAGGAATAATGGCATTTTCCTTTCTCCAGTACAGTATATGAAACATTTCTCTCTCGGAACAGACAGTTGCTTTCTTGGGTAGTAATATGCTGGTTTAACCTTATATGCCATTGTGAATGATTTTAATTTTCACAGCATATATCATACACAATTTAAAAGAGAGACTTTGAAGTCTTTAGTGACTGATTTTAGAGCACTTAAAGATTAATATTATTATCATCATATTTGTAAAATAAAAGTAATAATTCAAGCACTTGAAAATTGCTTCGGCATGAAACTTGGAGTTGTGCAATTAATGTGCAATTAATGTAAGATATTATGTATATTTCTTAATATATATATTAAATAGCTCTGTTATTTTACATTGAGCACTGTTTTTCTTTACACTGTAGACTATTTAATCACTGGCTTGTATGCCTACCCATTTTTACCCATTCAGTTATACATATATATATATTATATACATTTTTATTTTAGGATATTACATCAAAAACATGTCAAAAAATGCTACACAATTGCAGTCATGTTTTGATGTGGATCAATGCATTTCATTAGATGTTACTAAATAACTGGTGAGTAGACAATTTATTGAGATTTAAAAGCAAGATACATGCTCTTTTCACAAAAAAAGGAAGAAAAAAATTGAATGTTACAAACATTGAATTTGTACTCTATTTGTTCTCATTTTACACCCACACCCACACACACACACACACACATATCTAGTACAGTATATCGTAGTTACCCACCAAAGAAATATAGCCTGATTTAGGTCTTAAGAGCATGGGCTAATAAAATTTTGGGGCCCCCTTCATTACATATAAAAAAACAAGATATATTTCTAGATGATACATTTTTAGTGTAAAACATGAAACACTTCAACTAAAACCTACATCAAAAATCTAGATGTCTAGAAAAAATATGCATCAAAATGCAAATGGTGTCCCTTCAAGGGACTCCACTGAATTTAAAAGACCCACTTCAACTAGAAGGGCCCAACTACTCAAAATTGTTTCAAATTCAAAGGAGCCTCATTAAATCTAAAAATAAACTTATCTCCTTCATTCTTTTTTTTTAGTTTTATCTTATATCTTTATTTTTTTAGCTCATTATCTGAAGCCCATACTAGCCCATATGTAAATCCAGCACTATATATACTGTATATATATAATATATATATATATATATATATATATATATATATATATATATGATTTAATCGAAATGTATAACTTAAATATGTTATAAAATCACTACAAAAATAATCAACTGTTGTGTTTTGTTATATTTTAATCTTGTATGGACTCTGAATACTTTATAGTCATTTGGATAATATTGTTAGTATATATATATATATATATATATATATATATATATATATATATATATATATATGTGTGTGTGTGTGTGTGTGTGTGACACCCACTGGTGGTCGCAGCGCCAATATGTGACGTCCTCTGGTCATGACGCTAATATGTGACACTGTGCTGTCGGCCTGTGGTCAACTCCCAGTTGCAGCGCGAAGCTGCAAGGGCTCCTCCACCAGCGTTTTGGGGTTGACTCTCTGTCGCTGCCACCAGCCTGTGTCCCGGTCGATCTGGTCGTTCAATACCAGCTTTGTCGTTCCCAGCTCACTTCCAACGTTTGGTTACCAAAGTAACTGCTTTGATCTCAAGTCTAACCTACCCACATTGTGACTTTGATCTTAGGTAGACAAAATCAATCAGGCATCGGGCCGTAGTGCAAGCTGAATCCAGGGTAAAGGTGATATCGCACAAGCGTAAGTAAAAGAAGCAATAAAACAAACACAAGAGGTTCAAATATGTTGAGAAATGACAAATTATCTTTATCTGTCTGTTATATACAGGAGTGTGTTTCTCTCCCAGCCCGTTTCTATGGATTTGTGACACTTTTGAGTTTCTTAAGTGAGTTTTGGTATCTTAAGTTGTTCGTCAATATAACTTGCTTTTGGTAGGAAGTCAAAGTCGAAAAGGATGTGGAAATCTCTTGTTCAGCTTCTGCGAGGCAACGGATTAACTGCAACTGTGAATCAACTGCTGGAACTCCGAAACTACCTGGAGACGTTTGTTTATATGGGCACCGACCAAAACCCGGTGTGGGGACTGATGTGGCTTGAGTTCCCAATAATTCTCGATTCCCAGCAAGAATTATCTTTGTTCTTAGGCCAGAAAAATTAATTACTTCCCATTTTTGGAAGATTAATCACTTTCCATTTTGGGGGTTTCTCCCTCGTCCGTGAGGGAAGGTCGGAGGGGAGTTATCCTCCTAGACTCTTCCTCTCTCATATTGGTATCTCATACCAATCCCCTCAGTGGGTGTTAACAACTTCTCCATCTTTCTCGTACATTCACCTCCGCCTATCACCCATGTTACCACTTGACCACAATGATCTCTCGGCAGTGTGGGTGTGGATAGACAGGCCCTCTTAAAATTATTATCCAGAATTTTTTTTTTTTTGTAGGGTTGTGGACATTTATTTCCTGTTTGTTTGTGTTTATATATCTAAATATGTCTATGTGTTTGTGTATTATAATCTGATTGTATATGTATTGTCTTTTGCAATATTTCACCCTCCCTTACCCATATCACCACTTCAAATGTATCTATCAATTATATACTTTGCTATATATATATATATATATATATATATATATATATATATATATATATATACATACACACACATATATATATATACACACATATATATATACACACACACATATACATTCACACATACACATATATATATACATACACACATACATATAACACACACACATATATATACACACACACACACACATATATATATATACATACACACACACACACACACACACACATATATATATATATATATATATATATATATATATATATATATATATATATATATATAATATGGTATGGTGGTTTATATATACATTATAAATTTACTAATTTAAAAATATGGCTCCATCGCATTTCCAAAATTTATGCTCTGTAGATTTGCATTGAGCACCGTTTTGTAAAATTAAAAATAATTAAGAACACCGGATTTTATCTTACTGTTCTTTCTCTTTATTTAGTGGTATGGTGATTTTAAGTTTGAGGTTTTACAAGTGGGTAGGCACAAAGCCTTATATCAATATTTTTGCATTTTTCTGCTTACCCACTATGAAATTTGAATTTCTGTCCTGTTGTACCTGAAAAGTACTTCAGATATCATCACTGTTTTAATTTTTCAGATAATGTGTGAAAGTTGAACTATGAATGTGTATGGAATATTCTTCTCACTCCTATTGAAAGGGGAAGTGTACATTTTTTTGACATCTTTTTTTAATGTAAAAATAAATTACATAAAAAAAAAAACATCCCGATAAACAAAGTGGAATTACATATCGATATCTCATAATCACGTGAATTAAGTAGAGAATTGTTGGCCATCACGAGGACTCGTAATGACTAAGTAAAAAAATAAATAAAAATAAAGCACATGTTCACAAAGTTTAAAAAAAAAAAAAGTAGTAAAACCTTATTAGGACAAAGGTTAAAGATAGGGAAGCAGTGCGTGCGTATGTGTTACTGTTAGATCACATGCTGCTGTATGTAGAACACGCGATTATTATATAAAAAGGAATCAACCACATTGAATCTCTAGTTTATATTTTTACGTCTTGGTGGTTTAGGCATACACAGTTTTGTTTAGTGTTTCAACGATTAATGTAAGTGACTCTTTGTATTTTTACTCATTTCCACCGAGTAAAAAGTGATTTTCTTTCTTTACCTTGTTAATTATTGTGATCAAAAACTGAATTAGTGGAGCTTAAAACCAGTTGTTGAACAACTGTAAGTAAAATGGAAAGCTAATGTTTTTCTATTGTTTTGTTTTTGTGATCAATCAGTTTTTATTGTTTAAAAAAAAAAAGATTATTTTTGTGAGTAATACTCGTTGAAATTTCATTTGCGTTATATTGTTTTTTTTTTTATTTAAAAAAAAAAAAGCAGTTGTCTTTTGTTTTGATTGACGTGTTCATTTAATAATGATCATTTCATACAATTATGAGACTGTATATTTTATTTGAAATTCTTTTTTTTTTTCTCTAGTCATGCAGTCTTTCAAAATTCGTTCTACTGGTTCTGAAATAATACAAAAGGCCGTGTTTAAGAAGTAGAAGTGTTTTCCTACTTACAACATCACCATGAATAAAAAAATAAATTCAAAATCATTTTTACTACAGTACATTGTAAAATGTAAATCTAACAACTTATTTTTTCAGTCGAGTTATGAAACGATCTTCTTTTTTGTGTTTAACAATTACAAAAGTGAACTAAAATTACTATTTTTTTTAATTTTAACAATCGAAAATGTATGATCGATGCATTTTTTTATTAAGTGTCACTTCCACTTTTTTTTTTTTTTAAACTAATTGTCGCATCATTTTTTTTTTTAAAGATACCGTTTTTAGTGTAAAGAAACTAACAAAAAAATTTTAATTGAATCATAAGTTATTTATTTATTTATTTTTTTTTAAAGTAAAATTAAAAATTAAAACTTCACTTAGACATTAAAAAAAAGCTTGATCACTTTATTTTTAAAGAAGTTTATTGCCTAAGTAACAAAAAAATAAAAAGTTACAACGAAACAAAAAAAAAAAAAGCCTTTGAAGATCAAAATCTGATCGTTTTGTTTTTTATTTACGATAAATAAAAATTGATTTTCATCAAGGTTTGTAAATTCTCTATCATTTTTTTGTTGTCTTGACACATGCATGCTACAAAAATTACTTCGTTTATTTATTTTTAAAACTAAGTGATGTTGCTTTTCTTTTTTTTGCCCATGAGTAAATTAAATTTCCAGTGTTGGACCATCGTAGTTACCTACCGAAAACAAATCCAGCAGTAACACTTTTTTTTCTCTTTAATACACTAGTACTTAAATTTTTTTCGACTGTCTCTGTATTTAAATTACAATCAGGTGTGTGATAGGCAACAACAATGGTTGTTTCTATGTCTAAATCCCACGACACTAGTATTGTTTTAGTTTTTAATTTTAGTATCCTTCTTCTATAAATTTAATTATTTTTAATTTTATAAAATTAAACAATAAAAAAAAAATATTCATTTTAATTTTCAGTTTTCACCTATATAAACCAATAAAAGACAATACAATAAAAGACAAACAAACTCACTTAAAAAAAAAATTTTTTTTTCCCCTCTGTCTCGATAGGATATGTGAACCGTATCATAAATGGATTAACTTTTTAGTACTTAAACACTACTAACTATGGTGTTGCTCACTGTTAGTGTTACTGTTAGTGTTATCTAAAAGCTTTTTCTTATTTTTCTGTCAAATCACAGACGCAGTAGTATTTGAAAATCTTTCACTATCCCACCCGCGGTGATGACAAAAACATTTTCTGACACGTGACACTTAGTTCAATTCAATGTTTTTTTTTTTTTTTTTTTTTTTTCTTCAGGGTGCACTTGTAATGTAAAAAAAAAATTCTGGGTAGCACTTTAAATTTTAATATGTAAAAATTAGGCATGAAATTTGAAAATATAAAAATAAAATATTGGTTTAGCATTCTCAAAGATTAGTAGCGGTACAGTTTTCAAACTAAGGGAATTTAGGAAAAATCTGCTATTTTCTTTACACTGCAGAGAACCCGTTAATGACTGGTTTAAATTCCTTGTGGAAGGAAAAAAAATACACTCAGAGAATTTAGCATCCTGTTTAAAATATGACAAAGACTCGATGGAAGTCATGTGCTTGATGTCTAGCTTTTTTACAAATAATTTTTATTTTATTTTTTAAATATCAAAAATCAAAATATTCTGGTAGCTTTGGGTGCACTTGTAAACTTTAAACGGATTTTATGAAATGGTTAGTCAACAAGTTGTATTACTTTTCGTTTTAACTTTTAGTTTTACTTTGAAGTACTTATTAAAAAAATATACTGTTTTTATTGACTTTATATAGAGCAGTGAAAATGCTTATTCATTCCAAGTGTAACAGCTGCAAATGTTCTGTTTAAATAAGTTATGTAGACCTGGAACTTTAAGCTGGAGTTTAGGCAGAGCTGACGCCTACCACCCATAAACCTACAGAACCTGATTGGGGGCCCCAGGCAGTGCTATGTGACCCTCACTACGCCATCACCATTTGCGGGTTTTTTTTTGAGCTTTTTTTCTACCTACATTTTTATATACGATACAAATTTAAGCACAACGAAAACTTTCGCAGATTTTGATGTCAGAGGGTTTTTTTTTCTTTCGTCCAGATCCGTGAATTTTTTTTTTTGGTTTGCACTTTTTACAAAAAAAAAAAGTTGCTATTGAAATTGAAAACGGACAAAAGTCCACCACAAGCAAAAAAGTTAAGACAGAAAAGCTTTTTAATTTCTTCTAAAAGCAATTCAATCAAATGACCACTAGTGTCTTAAGATTTTTCGATGAATAATGAATTTTTACAAGAAATTTCCCTTTGGTGTTCTTACTTATTTAACTAAAACCTCATATTAGCCCTCCTTTGAGTTTGAAAAACTTATGCATCTGAATTTACAAAAAAAATATTTATATTATTAAATTATACTTTTTTAGAACTGTTAACATTTTGGTTAAAAATTGTTTTTCTTGTGTCAGCATCTACTGCAGAAAAATGAAAGAAAAAAAAATAACACTGATCTTTGAAAGAAAGACCAATGCCCTTGTCGGAGTTACCTCCTCCTTCTGTCCTTGAACCAGCAGAGGAACAGGTCTTTTCGACCTTGACCTCTCATTCATACTCCTTACACACTGTTAACACGTCAGAGGGACTAGCAAATCCCCTTTTTAGTTAGGCTATATTACAAACCTAGTTGTAATATACTTCTAGTCATTTTTAGACATTAGTTATCTTTGGCTAACCTTGTAGTATTTTACTATAGAGACTTTTCGGTTAGGTTAGCTTAGCCAATTTCCCTTGCTGGTCCCCCGCGTCACAAGACAGTGATTTCTCCCTAGATTCGTGGAGGCTGTCGGCGGCCGCAACGGTCGTCTACACAGGCCCCTTGGCCTTCATTGGCCAAGGACGCCGATCAACGGGCTGTGTATTAAGTTACGCTCCCATTTCTTTTTGTCTGCCAACTTGACGATAGTTGGGAAATTTCTTTCTCTCTCTCTCTTCCTTCCCAACACGTCAAGTTGGCATCCCGGCAATGACAAACAACGTTGGCAACACGAACTGCTGCAACAAGTTGGCATCCCGGCAATGACAAACAACGAGTTGGCAACACGAACTACAGAAACAAGTTGGCACCCCGGCAACGACTCAGCTTCAACAACCAACAAAGATCATCCTGGCATCACTCAACATCAACAACCACCAAGCGATCATCCTGGCAACAACTCACATCAGCGTCAACCCCCCAACAACGATGATCCTAGCAACTGCCAACCTCGACCATCAATGCCTGCACTAAAACTTCTGCAGTATCCAGCACTCCTGCAGCATCCGGCTCACTCCTGCAGTATCCAGCACTCCTGCAGCATCCGGCTCACTCCTGCAGCTTCCAGCACCTCCACCGTTTCTGACCATCTTCATTTCCTTTTAGAATAAACCTCTATATATCATATATATCCTCGTTCTGTCGTCCATATTGTTTCACGGTCAGATTTAACGTCTTCAAAAATGTTAGCGGGCCTCTTGTGACCTCGTTCACCCCTTTCCGTGATACGGGGCCACTGGACCGCCCGCTACACCCTCAAGAATTTAAATGTCTGCTTTCTTTAATGAAAGTCTGTGAATTTCAAATTTTTTTTCATTTGTACCGTCTTACATTAAATAACCTGCATTCATACTTTCATTTGTTATTTGAATATTATGTTAAAGTTAAGCGCAAATATTTATGCAATAGGGGAATTTAACTCGCAAGGAGCTTCTTCAATTATTAAATTCAAACAGGAAAATCATGAAACTTCTATGGACACTTTGGTTTGATGACAGGGATGAAAAGACAAATAGTAATCAGTCTGTTCAGAACCTTGTAACCCTCTCACTTTGTTCATTGTTCAGAATTTTCAAGTTGTTTCAGAGATAAGAATGATAAGAGAAAACGCCCACAATTGTCTATGCTTTGTTGGTTGGTTGATACAACACTGCTTTGTCCTAGATTAATGTTTCTACAAGGAAGTTAAATGATGACAACTAGATCACCTACCATTCAAATAAAGTCAGTAAAAAGTAATCTAAAAAGAATTGGTTGTTGGTGCATCATTGTGGTCCTTACTTATATGTAATACAGAAATAATTACAACTGGAATATTAATTAAATAATTAGCAAAATTACCTGAGAGCATTAGCTGGGCTTTTTCTTTCTCTTTTATTATTACTAAAATAAACTATAAAAAGTGTTAATTTTTCTACAGGCTATGACAGAAATACTTTGCACATAATGGTAAGACATTAGTGGCAATGGTGTCTTCATCTAGCTAATGCCTTACCATTATGTGGGAGGTATTTCTACCACACTTTGTATAATTAATATCTGTATTTTTGTCTTCCACCCAAACCTTAAGTGCATTATTTGGAGTGTTTCTTTTCTTTGATCTGAGAGTTGAATAGCAAAATTGACCACCATTGCCAATACACATCATGACTTTTATTTTATAAACTAGTATCAATCCTATCTGGCAGTGAATGCTGGACAGTTTCCTTACAGATGGACTTCAATGTGATTCCACAGGAGAATACTGAGAATACCATGGGCAATGAGGAACTTTTAAGGAAAATGGGAAACAGAAAGGATGCCTGTAATTAAAATCAGTTAAATTTCTGGGTCACATAATACGGAAAGTGGGCTTGAGAAATTTGACACTCATAGGTAACATTGAAAGCAGAGGGGAAACCGTCAAATGAGTTTGTATAGATGGAAAACAGGGACTGGGAGGAAATAAGGCAGCAAACATTACTTAGGGCTGTAGAGGATAAATTGTGGAGAGTCTTGATCATCCACATCCTGTAAGGACATGGCACATAAAAGAATAGTATCCATTACAAATGATATTTATGTATTTATTCACATTTAGAGAGGATTGTTTTCTGAAAACTGGCAGAAAATCGGAATGGCTTACTTAAAACAGAAATCGTGATTTTGAAATGGAAACTTTTTTCTAACAACCAGATTTGTCAACTGCCATTTTAAATTTTTTACTATGTCTGCCTTTCCTAACTCACTTCTCTGACTGACATCAAAAGATAAAGTCTGTAATGTTTTAATACATCCCCTTTACCTAATTCCTTCCTACAGTTTACAGTACTATTTAGGACACAAGTTTTACGAAGTTGGCTTGATTTAATGGAATCCCCCCCCAAAAAAAAAACCCACAAAAGGTTGTGTATGTGTGTGGGGGATTGGAAACAAAAATATAATCTTTATTTTTTTTTTTTTTTTTTTTTTTCCCCTATCAGACTGGAAGTGTGAGGCAGCTTGTCATTTCAGAAAACCAAATTTTACGATTTAGACATTTTTTTTCAAAAATTTTATCTAATAATTTCAATAATGTAACAAAATGATAATGTAGCTTTGTCTCTAGATGACTTTGTGGTGCTACTTTTCTGTAGGTTTTGCCACTTTCACTTAATTCTTATTTAGGATTGTAGCATTCTTTGAAAGTGTTGTCTCAGAAACTCCAAGTTAGATTAAGGGCAAATGTATAAGGTATGAAACCCTATGAAGCTGGAGCAACTTATCCAATGGGTGGATATTCCAGTTAGTAAAATTTTTAATTTTCCTTTTATCTTGTTTCAATAACATTTATATATGGTTACGCTAAGTATTATAATAGTAAAATCAAATCTATACTGAAAACGAGGGATTGTGGAGACTGGATTTTATACTGAAAGAATAAAAAAACGGGATTCCTTAAAAAATGAAACAGAATTAGGGAAAATTTGAAATGGAAAATCTGTCCCTCTACACATTTCTACAAAGAAAACACTGGAAAATGTTCCATGCTAGGAGAGGGGGGCAATCAATGTGGAATAGACTAATAGGTTTTTTTTTTTTTTCCAATTTTTGCATGATTTTTTTTTTATTTACATTATATTGGAATCCTATCATTGACTAGAGTAATGAGTCACATGATTGAGTTGTAGCTTTATTCTATTGCATATTTAGATGTTATTTTTCCTGAAACAGAATTGACTGGCTTTATGAATGAAACAACTTTATTTTCACAGGTCCATCATGGGGGCTACTTTGATTTCGCTAGTTGTAGCCACCCTGTTTGTATCTCTGACTTTGTCTGCCTCGGTTGTCCAGATGAATATGGAGACCCCCATGGCATCAATGGTTAGACGAATTAACAGCTTAAAAACTACATGGGAGGTAAGTTATCTTTTGCCTGGTTTTCAGACTCTCACTCTCTAGGCAGTTGGACATTAATTTCATATTTCCCTTTTTCTTTTTTCAGGTGTTTATGAAAACATGTATACTCAATAAAATATAACCTAAATAAGAGAATATACATTGTGTTCCAAAAGTTATGTGACAATTCGTAGAAAACGTACACTTGTGAAATAGCAACCAAGGAAAATATGCATGACATCATCTTCCATAAGATGGCCAATTGAATTTCTTAATAATTGTCACATACAGAAACATGATTCCATTTGGTAAATAAATATAAAATTTACAAGGTTATCAATGGTAATGTGGCTTTTGGAACTCTGTGTGTGTGTGTGTGTGTGTGTGTGTGTGTGTGTGTGTGTATATATATATATATATATATATATATGAAAAGTTTGGTAATCTGTATGGATAATCCCAAGGAGGATGTAATCCAGAGAGCTCAATGTCAAATCAGAGCAATTATTAATTCAATTTAAAAACAGACAACCTTAAGAGTCCATTGGTTATTCTCAAATTATATATAATTTGAGAATAGTGCAAGTGATCAGTTTTTTTTTTTTTTTTTTTACACAAAAAATAGGGGGTTGCATTTTACACAGGTATTTTCTTTGAAGAGATTAAAAATCATGCATTTTCAGTGACTGGTTATACACAGGTAAATATTTTTTCTGGAGGGGCTTAAAATTAATGCATTTTTCAGTGACTGTAACCTACCTAGTAGATCCACATTCTCACAGTACCTTTGGTCAACCTTAACAGTCTGACTCTCTTAGTCTAGATTCTTTCTTTCTGTTGCTACATGAACAGCAGAATATCATCGACTATGTGTGTCTCTTCAAATCTACAAATAGCTTAAATAAATGAAGAATTAACAATTTTTTTATTCTTTTAATTTCTGTTCATCTTCATTTGCACATGTTTATATCTTTGAAGTATTGCTTTTCCAATGGCACTACATTTTGTCTGATATTTATACCATATGTTTCAGTTGTTCTCTCTTCCTCTGTTTATTTATATTGATTTTTATTTATATTCTTTACATTTACTGGCATTATTATCTTATGTATTTGGGGTCTCTGAGGATAAGTTGGTTCTCAACATGGAAAATGTAAAGACAAAATAATGCTTACTCTTGCTTTTGGCCCAACTGTAAAGAAATGTAAAATTTTACAGACTCTCTTTAAATGTTAAGCCAGAACACATAATGTAATTTACAACAACCCACTTAACCTCAGAGATCTCAAAAACACTCCTCCAACACAGTTTTGACTTTCTTTAAGTCGAACTGACGAAGCCAAAGAGAACATAAACTAAACCTTTTTTTTCTGGCAAAACACATGTTTGATTAAAAATTTTCCATTTTTCTCATTATTTTCATTTTTGTTTCAGATACTATTCTCTCTCTCTTTCTCTGTGTGTGTATATATATATATATATATATATATATATATATAAATCTCAAATATGTGGTGCAGTTTTATTTATATTACAATGAATCATTCATACAAAAAGTAGATTAGTAAAGTTAATGATATAAAATGGCAAACTCTTCACAAACAAATGCTTAAAGTTGCATTAACCTACGAACCACTCGATGAATGTTATGATCCTTGTTTTTAATAACTACAAGCTGTATAAGGTTTTTTTAATCTGCTAGTACTTTCAACTCTACATACAGTCATCCTCAGGCATGGAAATTATTTTGTTTTTAGTAAATCCAGGTAGCATTAGAGATGAAAGATTAAATGCAAATCAAATTTTTTTTTTTTTTTTTTTTTTTTTTTTTTTTTTTTTAGAAATTGTTAATGGATAAAAACTTTTGGAGTGTGTGATCGCGATGCTAAGGTTGCATTTTTTGAAAATTTAAAACTGCATTTTTTTCTAATATGGTAATTTGAGAATTTTTTTTGTTGTAGGAGTTTCAGTAAATGTGGCATGAACTAAATTGTTCAATAGAGTAATGTCTCGGCTGTTATCCTGAAAATTTGCATGTCGGATCAGTTCTTTTAAATAAAATATGTGGTGCAGTTCAATTTATATTACAATAAAACTTTTACTAATCTACTTTTTTCTATGAATGATTCATTGCTATATATATATATATATATATATATATATATATATATATATATATATAAACAGATTTAATAAGTATTTAATATCTATATACCGATTTTGTGGAAAATAAATTTTGCTTCTTGTTTGTATGCCTTTACAACAACCTCATTTAATTACTCTACCTTGAGTGACTTTTAGGCCTTATATTTGAACAATAATAATTTAATAGACAATCCAACACTGATGACTGGTATTACACTAAACTCAAATGAGAACTACATTGAACAATTATTGATTTTTTTTTATTGAATATTGCCACTCTAGCACATTTGAGGCAAAAACTGAAATATATCTTACACACACACACACACACTGGCAATAAAGTCACAATAGAATTACTTATATCATTTATCAGTTATATGCCATGCATGATACACGCGTAGGCGATCATTCATCTTTCAATACATGACTGATGAGGCAGATTTTTTGGCCGCAGTAGGTTGTCATTTCTTTCTGCGGTAGACCAGTTGCCATCCAAGGCTATAGAACCTAGCTTATCCTGCTATTTGCCCATAGCTGGTGGGAGAAGAAAAGGATTCTTCCTTTCTCAAGGGTATTAGCACATAAGTGAATGTAATGGATTTTGGAATTCGAACTCTGCTCTCCAATTCCTCAATCTGTGCCGCTATCCATTACTCCACCATGCAAAGCATTGAAGCAAGTGGCTTGCAGTTTGAGCAGTATCGGTAATTAATTTGCTATTGTTTACCATAGGATTTTATTAACCAGAACCATTTTAATAATAAATTTCTGGACTGTTGATTAATTGCTTTGTCTTTGTTATTGTAAGTAACTGTCTAGTGACTTTATTGCCAACCTGTATGTATACTAGTAAAAATTCATATCTACTAAATTATAAGTGAATGTCCACTCAGATATAAAATAGTTGTTATAATAAAAAAAAAACAAAAACAAAAAAAAACGATTTATCGTGCTAAAATGATTTCCTCACATGCACTATATTCTCAGGCCGATTTGTCATTTTTCAAAATTTAGTGTAATTTGTGCACATATAAATGAATATATGACAAATAAGTAAAATAATATTAAAATTTAGACACATTTTATCATATAACAACAGTTTTACCGTGATTTTTTTTCCAAAGTGTAGTTTAGCACAAGGCTGAAAGTATGGAGCACCCAGTGAGGATCACTCACTACTCAGTCATAATTGTTCTAGTGAGACAAGCTTGCTAACCATTACACCACTTACACCAAGATTTTCTATATTTTACAGTGCAAAGAAAGCCTCCAAATTCTGGAGGCTGTTGTAATAAGAGAAGCAATCAAAATTTAAAAAAATTGTCTTTCTTTATAGGCAACTGTATATTGAAAAAAACAAAAATATACATGCACAAATTTTAGTTTAATTGTTTATATGATGTCACCTTGACTGACTTCAAATTGGCTCCATTAAATGTGAGAAGACCGGAATTAAAATGTTACATAAATATATTTCATATACAGAACAGTCTTTGAAAACGAATGTAGGAATATTTGAAAATACTCTGGTGAGGGAACAATATAAAATTTGGCAAATTTACCAATAAAGTTGACATGACTTATCCATATTTTATATAATATATAATGCGTGTGTATGTATATTTATTAATGTTTCTTAGCTCTGTCTAACCACATTGAGCACCGTTATGGTTACACCTTAAAGTAAATATTTACCTGCTTACCTGTGTATGCACACTAACACATATATATGGTTTCTGATATCTAGTTATTTGATTTATGCACATATATATTATGAAATGGACAAAGTCTGACAATTATTTTAAGACATTTTTTATGTTTATATGTTTTTTATAGATACAGAAATTTTCATAGAAAATATGCGGCTCAGAGGAGTGTTTCGGTTCGCAAGGTTGATTTTTACATGAATTGTTGTTTTAAAAACAGTAAAATCAACCTTGCTAACTGAAACACTACTCTGTGGCTCAATCGGTAAAAGCATGTCAGGTTATATGACGGTTCCATATAGGATACAGGTTCGGTTCCTGTTGGAGGATGCATATTTTCTATGAAAATTTCTCGGACATTCAGGCTGGTAAATCTCGTTAATACTGTTTATTATAAATAGAGCATTTACTTAGATATTTGTATCTATAAAAAGAATGTATAAACATAAAATGTCTTATATATACACACACAGGGCAATGTAGATTGAAAGAATTTTCATTTCAAATAAAGAAAATAACTGTATATTTGTGTAATTTACTTATTTACTTTATTTAACTTACAAATGTGGATCACTCGGTGAGGATCAAACAAACCATGCTAGTAAGGTTTCAGTATAACAGAACAGACCCTAAATTTTATCCCCTCTCAATGTGACTCATTGACTTAAGCTCACTCCAGATGACAAGTGGAACTTATGAACTAAAGATGCTGGAAAAATGGTTATTTCCTTGTATGGCTCAAGAAAATACCTGACTTTTGCTATTTATTTCTTTATCAGATTAGACCAAAAAAAAAAAAATTGAGTATTGTTGCTATATCAGCCTAATTGTCACTATCCAACCTTGACAGTTGAAAAGTTTACATGTTCTTGTGGGTAATGAATTATTTTCCACCTTACAATCCTTTTCCCACCAAAAAAACATTATTAGCCTCTTGCTACTTTTATCACTATTTTCATGGCAAATGTTCACACAAACCTACCACATACACAGGGTTGACTCCTCCCTCATTCCCTTTGTATTCCATTGGTAGGGAGGAAGTTCCTCTCAGTTTCTTCCTCAGAAGTGTTACTTTGTAGACCATCCATGAGAGTACATTTCCTCAATCACTATATTAGTTTTCAAGTTTAGTTTCAACTCATATTTATCTTACATTTTGCCATAATATGTCTTTCGTATTTCCTTTTAAATTCTTACATCATTCAGTAACTCTGTCAGAATGGCTCTTGGGCCTTGAGTGGACATTAGTATATTATATGTGATTATTTGCATTTATGATGATTGAGAGCATAGATATTTAATAGATTTATTTAAAAAATAAATTTTATTTTTTTAACTACGACCCATGGTAAGAACTACATTTTGCATTGTGATCCATTGTACCTATAAATCAGACACACACTACACACTAGATTCATTTATTTATCAGCAATTTCTGTGTATATTTCTTATGATCAGCACATAGTGGAATTCCATCTATTTGTGTTTTCTATTTTTATGAAAATATAAAATTACTACTTTTAGAAAAACAAATTTAAAGGAAATTCTGACACAAGGGTAAAGTACATAATATTTAAAAAAAAAAAATCACTTAATGAGATGGATGTTTTGTTTGTTCATAAGCAGTTGATTCCAATTAGGAACACAGGAAGACAATAACTACACATATCAGGAAAAGTATTGAACTTGTTTCTGTCCTTCATCTTAAATTGAGTTAATGCAGAAAATCCCTATTCGTACAAGAGAACAGAACGGACTATATATATATATATATATATATATATATATATATATATACACACACAACCGTACCGCTGAAAAACAAGTTGTTTATATTCTGCAGTGTTCTCACTTTCGTATTATTTTCTTTCTCTAGAAAGACATTGTATTAAAAAAAACGAAACAAAAATTCATACTGAGTTGTCTCCCTTGATTTAAACATTTTTTACTTTTATGCATTATTTTGTTTTCTATGAAGTATATAAAATCATTAATATTAGCAATTCTTGCCCCAAGATAAAGAACTGATATTCTATTCAGAAAAATTCTTTTTTTTTTTTTTTTTTTTTTTTTTTTTTAAATAAGAGCATAAGAGCAACATACAGCAGCCTATAAAAGTTTACTTGGAATAATGTAAATGAAACAATGTTTGTGTATTATCTGAAGACTAGGTTTGATCTTTTAAGGTTTTTATATCTTGTATCATCCTTTCTGGCTATTTCATTTAAACATTCTCTTTTTTTACCTTTGTGTTGTTTTTGTTTGATAACTACAACTGATTTGTTGAATAATTGTTTTGAAAAATTTTAATCCTTATGTCTGTTTCTGTCTATAAAATCTGGCTTAACTAATTTTTCTGTTTTGCTTACCAGGCTAAAGATAACTTTGGTTGGACTGAAATGAAAGTGATCCGTCGTCTGCTTGGGGTCAAGCTAGACCGTCCAAAAATCCACTTACCTCTGAGACCCCCAGTTCTTAATCTTGATACAAAAATTCCTGACCATTTTGATTCTCGGGAGGAATGGCCAATGTGTAACACTCTCAAAGAAATTAGAGACCAGGGTAACTGTGGATCTTGCTGGGTAAATATTTTTTATTTTTTTTTCTTCTTCTTCTTCCTGGTTTTAGTTTCTCATAAGGTGTCAGTTTTAGAATTTTATGACTGATCTAATTTAGCAATATCAGTGTCGGTCAATATCTTAAATGGAAACATCTGAGCTGTCACAAATTGCTTCAGCCATTTATTTGTCCTGATGATTATCAGCTAAGTGCAGTGGCCCTCACAAGAACCATGGCAAATGATTCTGACAAAGGTCACTAAATGAAGCCACATTTTGATAAATTACTTTTTTTTTTTTTTTTTTTTAGACAAAGAATGTTTTCTATAAGATAGTGGTCACTACCAGAGAAACAGAAACTCGGACAAAGGCATAGTAATGAGACTTACAGGAATGGGAAGACACGCCTGTTAGACTGTTGACCTTCCTTGATCATCTACAGCAGTAGGTTACACCCAGAATAAAATTTGCTTACTGCTACAAAAGCCATGGTTTTATTTCATGGGTGAAGATCTAGCCAAAGAGTTATTTTTAAACCACAAGCATTTGACTGGAAGAAACTGCAACTTTAGATTGAACCTGGTATCTGCTCTGAGCTGCAATGCTACTTATTTTTAGTTGGATTACAAGATCCTGTTTTTGATGTTTGTGTGAAAGTGTAGTCTAGAAATGGTTTTTCACAAAAATATATAATCTCAGTGAAATGGTATTTCTGGAAGATTTTTTTTAAAGCAAGCATTTTTTTGTAATTAAAGTGCTTGATATCAAAAGATAAAGCATTAATAGTAAGAAATAAAATTTTTACTTGTGTTCCTATTCAGTTTAGTATAGATTACATCCACTTGTCAGTGGTTTGACTCTACTGGAGATACATGATTTAAATAAAGTCTCATCAATATCTAACTTTATTTTTTCTCTAAAACTTTTATTAAAATAGCTTTAAGCTGATCAATTATCTTGAAATATATTCCATTTATTGATGTACTAAATTATAATGTAATATTTACTATTTACTATGTTATGAAGAAATAACTATGAAAAACAATTTTTTTTATACATAAATTTCTAAAAATGTTTGAACTATAGAAGAAAATTTAAATAAACACAAAGTAGCTGTAAGTCTAAACTTTGAAAAATGTATCTTTTTGACATTTTTCATTTGCTCTCACCATGAATTCACAAAAATAGGTGTTGTGTTATATAGGAATAAAGTGTCACTGCCAACACTTGAGTTTGAACATAGATCACTAGTGATCAAACACAGGCAATCCATCATTGATTTAAGTGGATCATGTGACCATAGAGGAAACGCATATATAAGAAGTCGCGTGATAGACTAGAATGGCGATCAATCTAGATATCTTCTATTACTATTTGGCGCATCATTTCTAGTCTCTTCTATTAATGTATGGACCACTATTCTCTACTCTATTTACTATACTATTTCTCTATTCAGATCACTATATGGGTTATTTGTCGAGCAAGTATTATTGAGCAAGTACTATTAGTGTGAAATTATTCCAAGGTGTCTGACACCAGCATCGTTTACCGGCATACCATATTTTGTATCTGCAATTACAAAGTCTCATGAAAGTATTATGAAAGTGAAAACGAGTGTTCATTGGCATCACAAAAATAGCTTAAGATCATCTGGAATTATTCATGCATTTTTTTTTTTTTTTTTTTTTCAAAATTTATAGCCACAATTACTTGTGTTTCTGAAATCCAAAGCATAGAGAAAGCAACAGGTAACCACTTATCTTTCTCAAGGATGCAAGTGGCAATTCACAGATAAGAGGAATCTATGGAGAGCCATGTTCATCCATGTCTTGAAGAGACATGGTATTCTAGTTTCTAATTTAAAAACTATTATAAAACTATTGTGGCAAAATTTATTCTGTGAAATTGCCTTTTGCAAAGCACTTGTACATAATGCTTTGCAAAAAAAAAAAATTTCAGAATAATTTTTCATCTCTTAGACTGGTTGCTATCCAAGACTAGATAGGTATGAATGTGAACTATGGTACAATAAAATTTAAACATAAGTTGTGGCTATAAATTTTGAGTGGACATTAATAATAAAAGTGAAATCTGATTTAATATACTGGGTTAGACTAATTTTTTGTATGAAAAAGATTTGTTTCTTGAAAAAGATGTCTTAGTCTTATTTTTACCAGAAAGAACAATGTTTGTTTTTTTTTTTTGTTTTTTTTTTTTTTTTTTGAACAATAAAAGCTTTCCTCGTGTCTAATAAGTATGCATATCAAATTTGAGTGCTGTACATGACTAATCATATATAGCAAAGAAATATCACTTACCAATTATATAGCCATGTGGCTTCTGCATTTAATGTTCATGTTTAATTGTATGCCTGATTGTACAAGTATAGTACATGTAATGTTTGTTCATCTTCTTCAATACAGACTTAACTATGCACATTATTTTATTGCTCATATATTTTTAATGGTTATTATGACATCTAAATTCATTGACTATTGCCACCCAAGGCTAGGTAGTTCAGTCTACCCTATGATTTTTTTAATGACATATATACCTAAACTGCCTTCTACTATACACAACGGTTTTCTCAGATCAGTGATTAAAATGGCTTCAAGTGAATGAATCTTTTAGGTCTTAAAGAAGACAATCTGTCATTAAACTCTAAAAACTTGTGCTATACAATCCCAAAGAAAGGTCTATAGAAAATAATAAAAAACCATATCACTTGAAGGCTTTTAACAGTTATAACAAAAATAGGTAGGACATGTAACTAGAAGGGAAAAATAACGATATAATTAAGATGTTGACTTTCCACCCTACTTTAAACAAAAGGTTAGGACATAAACTCCTGTCAATACTAGAAACAACAGTAAGTTAGTGGGCTTAAAGCCTATATACATGAAAAAATGTTTTCAAGGAAAGATTCTCAGTAATAGTAATATTTGCTCATTGACTGCCTAACGTTTCCTGTACAGATTTTGACATCTTCCATTATTTCACCATTAATAAGTATATTCAGTAATAGTAAAATTTTCATCAATTTAAATGAGTTTTTATAAATTTGTTTATTACTAAAGAAGGGTATTTCTTTCCAGGCCACAGCTGCTGTTGAAGCAATGTCTGATCGTATTTGTATTGCGAGTAAAGGTACAAAAAATGCCCACTTGTCCATTGAAGATTTGTTGACTTGCTGCAATGAATGTGGTGAAGGGTAAGATTTTTTTTTTTTTTTTTTTTTTTTTTTTTTAACTTTGGTAATCTTGTAACATTGCTAATTTTACCAGCATCTGGTTGGGATTTAGATGACGCTACTTGGATGATCATTATGGCCTGATGGAAAAGTGACTCTGTTGTTGAAAAACAGTTGAAGGAATGATCCTAATTTAATCATTAGTGTGGAACAGTTGCTACTATTTGAGAAATGGGGTGGGGAAATGAATTGGAGGCACAGAGATTGAGGAATCGGAGCCTAGTATGAATTCTAGTAAAGTTCATTACATTCATTTACATGTACATATTGGGAATGGTATGAATCTCTTCTCTTCCTAGTTATGGGTAAATAGGAGGACAGGGTGGCAACAAGTCTTGGAGAATGACAATTCTGTATTTAAAAACTCCAACTATGGATTATTTAATAGCCTCACCAACCTTCAATTGGTCAAGTGTGGTGAGTACTGCCATGACCCAGAAGACATGGCCAATCAGGAAGGGGTTCCTCCAACAGGAGTGAGAGGGCCTTGGATTTGGATCACAGATTATCCTTAACGTTTGAATCCCCCCCCCAAAAAAAAAACAATGGAAGGGCACCAAATATGGCTCCTCTTTGTAGTATTTGCTGTAGTGGACTGGCTAGGAGAAATTGATTAGAAAAAAAAAAAAAAAATCATAAACATGCTCCCAGATCAAAATATTATGGTTGAGACTGGTGACAGACAAGAATGTTGCACAAATGCTTTGAGCTGTCATGCCCAAATGACAGATCATTCTTCCAATCTTATCTCATTTAAGGAGCATCATTGTATATCACTACAATATGATTTAATTTATGCGAGCTATCTGCAAACTGCTCTAAAACCATAGCCTGAAAACTCGAATTCTGTTCTTAAATAGCCTCTCAAATTGAGACTTTCATATGGATATCATGCATGGTGCCAAACCTATTTAGAGATATCTATCTTGTTGGCTATATAACAATTAATTATCTATCTTTGTTGGCTATATACAACAATTATATCTTGTTGGCTATATACAATTATCTATCTTGTTGGCTATATACAACAATTATCTATCTTGTTGGCTATATACAACAATTATCTATCTTGTTGGCTATATACAACAATTATCTATCTTGTTGGCTATATACAACAATTATCTATCTTGTTGGCTATATACAACAATTATCTATCTTGTTGGCTATATACAACAATTATCTATCTTGTTGGCTATATACAACAATTATCTAAGATTAATGGTTAAAAATGGCTTTGAGTGAGTGAAGCTTGTGGGTCTTGAAGACCTTCCTTCTTTGAACATTGTGGTGTGGTGCTACAGAATCATAAAGAACTTTATCAAATAACAGAAAAAACGTCACTTGAGGTCTATCAACGGCAACAATAACTAAAATGGATAGCATGTATAACTATAAGAGAAAATGACGTACTTTTTAATGTATATGTATATATCTGCTAGACCATCATGTCTAATTTTGATCATTTTATTTCTTCATAAATTTAATTTTTGCAGTTGTAATGGAGGATATCCTGAATATGCTTGGTATTATTTTAAAGAACGGGGCATTGTTACTGGTGGACCCTACCATAGCCACAAGGTGAGTGGCATTTATTTCAAATAATTCGTACATTAAGTTAATTCCTTGTATCCTTTACTAAATAATACTGTATTCATTGTCATTAATTTTATCTTGAAGACAAACCACTGAATAGGTTATGTAAACACTATGTAACTCAGCTTCAAAAAAACTAGTATTCCAGCTTATTTTCCATTGAAGAAAAAAAAATCGAGTTGCTACAATTTTTATATAACTGCTCATTTTTGCCTTCTAAATATTTGTGACTGGAGCTATATTGTTTTATCGACAGTAAGTTAGAAGTTATCTCCCCCTTATAATTTAACGGTTTCGATTTTCATTACGTGTAAACTTGTTATAGCTTAGCGGTCTCCCAACTTTCTATAAAAGAGCTACAATACATATATTTTAAACTTTTCATGGGTAAATTTGCTTTTTAATCCCTGCACTAAATATCTATTAAAAATTTCCGAAATCTTCATATTTCCGTGTAAATATACATGCTGAACTCTAAATAACAATTAAATTATAAAACCTACTGTTTTGGAGTTATGTTATCGACAAGAAAAATTTGGACTCACTCGTGGTCATTCATCCGCCATTACCGGCTTTGTATAATTAGATTCACTGCCGATCACTTCCATCGTGCAATCATAACTTTTTGGCCTATTTACTGCTCTTACTCGCCGAAATTACTCTGCACTATTGTAAAGCAATGACAAAGGTTAGGTTTTTTTTTGTTCTTTATATATATATATATATATATATATATATATATATATATATATATATATATATATAAATGAATTAAGTACCCATTTTATTTTATTTTTTTTTTTTTTTTATTTGGCTTTTTCTTATCTCTGGTGCCTAGAACGGAATCGGTAAACCAAAATCTAGTTGGGATAGTTTACTTTCATAACCAATGCCGTTGGAAAAGACTGTAATCCTATTCTCCTCTCGGCTACAAATAAAGGGCATTTGGAAATTTTTTGTCCTGTAAGACAATCTCTTAGTTGTCGGGCTTACAGTACACCATCACCATTTAAACAATAACTTACGAAACCACAGTAATCTCCCTTAGTATGATTATGGCTGTCCTTATTGAATAATCAATAAACAACTACATATGATGTAATTCAAACATTACTCAGTGTTATGCTATAAAAGGTGTAAAAGCATTTTTTTTTTTTTTTTTTTTTCTGAGAAAACAAAAGAAATTTGAAAGACTGAATGCTACATATGCCTTTTTAGCTTTTTTTTTTTTTTTTTTTTTCTAAATTGGAGACTTTACAAAAAGTCTGTATCAAAATATGTCCGTGATTCTTATAGATCAGTATTTTTTTTCCATTTAAAAAATGATAAGAACCTGCATAAATAGGTGTTTGTCAACATACTCCCTTTTAGAATCACACTGACAATTGCAGAAACAATGGGGAAACTATATAAAATAGCAAAAATATCTAACATTTAAGATTCTGTGACAAATCAGCTGTGTTGTGTTAGACAATTTTTCTTGCCAGAATTGTCTACATTTATAAGTCTACCATTCATCTACGCATTAAATATTGCTGTCATATTTGATCTGCCATGTATCTAGAGATTCTTGATAAAAATTTAATGTTGTTATTGGACCTAATATGACATCTCGGCTTCAGTCACTTTCCCACCACTGTAATGTAGCTTCCCTGTTCCTTTTTTATAAATATTTTCATGGCAATTGTTCTGACGAACTTTCCTCTTTAGTACCTAGACTTTAAATTTAAGTGCAGTGCTAGATTGGTGACTCGATGTAACTGTATGCTAATAGTTTCTTCTCTTTCACTTCTCACTTGTAGAACTCTCTTCCAGCTTCTTGCTTTCCTGTCAAATTTCATTTTCAGAAATTAAAGTGCAATATCAGTTTCTGTTGTAATTCCTGTTCTTTTATTGTTCATTCTTTTAATGCTTTACTTTTTCTCATATTCTTTTTCACTCAGTAATCCCTTGTGTTTTAGTGGCATTATTGCCTTTGCTTGGGTGAAATGATTGAAAAGAAAAATAATTTAAGCAGATGAGAAAAAAATGAAAAGATTGGCCATTGATTTTAATATTTGAATTTATTGCAGCTTCAATTAAATCTTGTGCTAGTTGTAGTTTGGAGCCATCCTGATTTAGACAATTATTACTGACAGTTTTAACTCCTTTTTAGCTGTGCTCTCTTTTATGTGCTGTTTCTCATCAGGACATAGATGATCATGATGTATAACTCTGAGTAAATAACATTTTTATATATATATATATATATATATATATCAAATATGAATCAGAATCCAACAATAAGATAAAGATTAAGCAAAATGTATACACTCTTTTGTGTATTTTTATTTATTTATAGATGTGTTTAATGTGTGTCCAGATAATTGAGTTGGAAAAATAAACGTGTCTGGGGTTCTCTTACATTGAATTTTTATTTGTGCTAAAAGATAAATATTATTTTTATGGCCTGAAAAGGGGATAACATTTTCATTGACATGTGTGTTAATGACCTGTCCATGTGAACTGCTTGTCCAATAGCGTGTTTGCGTGTGGAGAAAAGTGGAAGCAATTCCCATTTGTTTAGAATGAGTGAATTAACGATAATTAGAATTGTTCTAATTATTTTTGACACTATATAATTTTTTTATGGACATATCAGTGACAGCATAATTGTTTATTTATGTATTTCTTTATGGATATGACAATGGCTCTTTGCAATTTCCTATTCTTTGTAGCTCTAAGCAGTGTTTGTTCCTTACAATCCTTTAGTCTCTGTTTTGTTTTCCACTTAAACAAGCTCATTATGTAGGTTACATCACGGTTTCCTTTTCACCCTTAGTATATTCTTTGAGTGCCAGATTCTCCAGGAACTCTTCCTCATTATGTGTCCTAAAAATGTCAACTGTCTCTTTCTGATTTTAAGTATGTTTTTATTTTATTATCTTTTTTTTATTTCCAACTTTCTTAAAATGTCTTTGTGGCTTATATGTTCTATTCATAGTATTCTCGGTATCCTCCTACAGAACCACATTTTTCTTGCCTCTAGTTACCTCTTCATCTATGAAGTTGTCCAGCATTCACTGCCATATAGAAAAATTAAATAGCAGTTCAGCAATCTTGTCTTTCTAACACAATTATTTTCTTGTTTCTTCATACTTTTAGCTTTTGGAAGGCATATTTTGCTTTTTTTATGCACCATTGGATTTCAGCCACATTTTTTGTCATCTGTTAAAGCACTTTCTTGATAGTTAATTTTTTAAAATTTTTTTAATTTTAAAAAAATTTTTTTTTTTTAATTTTTAAAAAAATTTTATTTAGTCTCAAATCATAGCTTGACTCTTGGGTTGTTTTTCTTACAAACAATTCTGTCTTTTTACAATTGATGGTTAGTCCTTTCTTCCTGATTACCTTTATCTTCCCTTGGAGTGGCTGCAGATTTTTCTTTTTCCTTCATCACATTTTTTTCAAATCTGTTGAGAACCAAAGAATTAACTGTTACAAGTTTAATCACTTTAGTTTTTTCTTTATAGGGTTGTCAGCCTTATAAAATCCCAGCTTGTGACCATCATGTAGTTGGACCTCTAGCACCCTGCAAAGGGGACCTTCCCACACCTAGATGCAGTTCAAGATGTGAATATGGATATAATAACACTTATCATGATGATAAGCACTTCGGTGAGTTTACTTTACATCTGTGATAATGATACGGCTATTTATTAGTCCTTTTCTAAAAGGAAATTAAACTGAAACCACACATTATCATTTACTATATTAAATACATGATACCCAAACATCTTTAACTCTCCATTAGTACTGTGAAGTATTTGAAACCCCTACAAAATATTTTCTTTTTTTAATAATTTTCTGAATGCTCCTGTTGAGTAACTACAAGGAGTTTCTGGTTTTAGCCATAATATTTGTATTTGTGTGAATTACAAGCAATTTTATTTGATTACTGAAAAATAAACAAAACCTATTTTTGCATAATTTAACTTTTGAAACTTGCAATTTATTTTTTAATATTGGTTGTAGAAAGAAATGCAAACTGATTATTAAATTGTTAAAGCAACTTGAGTATTAACTTAATTCAAATAGGATTTTTCTTACTATTATTAGTTTTTGGTAAAGCTAACAAGCATATCACCAAGTTCATTTTCATTATAGTTTGAATTGTTCAGTCATCAGAATGTAGTCGTACAGTTGGTAATTGTATATTTAACATCAAGTAATTTCAATTATATGAAAACTTACTTATATCAATGACCTATTCTTAATTGATGACGCTGATTTAAGAGGGAACTATATCTTAAAGATATGTATTTAAAAATATTGTTACTTGTGTATCTTTGTTCTATCAGTTTTTATGTATCTCTTTTTCTACAGGAAAATCAGCGTATAAAATTGATGGTAATGAAGCAGATATGCGTCAGGAAATAATGACTAATGGTCCAATTGAAGCAGCTTTTATGGTCTATGAAGATTTTCTTACTTACAAATCAGGTGAGAGATAAAGAGACAGTGAGTTAAAGAGAGAACTGTTATATATATATATAAGATCTCAGATTATTGTAATAAAACAGTTACTATTAATAAAATACTGATAGGGGTTATTTTAACATTACAGTGATAGACTAGTATAAGGTTTTAAAGTTCGAATTGTTCTGTAAGAAAAAAATCAGTGCTGAACAAACTTATGTTTAAAAACCAAGGCACAAGTAAACATTAAAAAAAAAAAAATGGGAAGTCTTCAGATAATGCTCAATAATTGTTGTTAATAATAATAATATATTAAAAGCCAAGCTTTATTCTGATATCAAAATCTATTATGTAATATAACCCAGGATTTGTTCTTATATTAAAAACTGAGCTTTTTATATATACAGTGGGGGAAACAAATATTTGTACATATGCAAAAAAAAAAAAAAAAATAGGATAAAAATAACTACTGATAACATTATTGGAACATTCTAGAATATTCCACTTGAATAATCTAGAATATTAAATCAATTTAAAAGTTTTAAAAGCTGAAAATTGGATTGTACAAATACTTTTCACCCATTAAAATGGATAAATTTGATTTATTTATATGAAATCAAAATTGTTTGTTTTCTATGCATATTAATTATTAGGTATTTGTGTACAGTTAATTATATGAAAAGTATGTTTATTCATTAGTTGGAAATACAATGAATTAAAGATTTGTATGTGTATGAATATTAGTTTTCCCTGTGTGTGTGTGTGTATATAATATATATATATATATATATATATATATATATAATATATAGATTTTAGTGTAATGATGAGATCGGATCCATTTTTTTTTTTTTTAAATTTTTTTAAATACCATGTTAGTGTGTAAGATGTTCTATATTAAAATTTGATGTCAAAATCTGCTTGTGTTCAATATGCTGAAGTTATGAATAATGATATACAAAAGCCATGTGTAAATATATTTAAAAATAAGTGATATATATCAATGCTAGAAGTGGTATGCAACACTCTCCTTGCATCATATCAATGTCGTGATTAAGTTTTTAAAGAAATGGATGAGACTGGGGATAGTATTCACTTTAATTATGATATTGGATCCAATAATGAAATGTCTGATTCCTTTATAAGTGAAAGCAAACCAGGATTTTGCAGGTTTTGAAGCAAACTAAATAATAGTAATCCCATCTTCCTTTTATTTCTTTTTTTTATTTTTTGTTTTAATTTCATAATGTAAACTCTTTTTTAAATTTTTTTTTTCTTTACATTTAATCTGTTAGCTATTATGCCATTATTATGCTATTATGTTTTTGAAGTTGAATTTAAATTTGTAATTAAAAATTTTCCACAAGCTATTTGAATGAAAAGTGGTTAATATTTGAAAAGTGGTTAATTTGTTGAATACTAATTTTTTTTTTTTTTTCTTAAAAAAAAATTTTTCCTGTTACCTTTTATCTGGAAAAAAAAGCTCCAACATTTCAAAATTATTTTATGCATATGACTTATTATACTTCTAGTTTTCTTTACATCTTCTAGTCTATTGGTCATCAGTGATTTCTTACAGTCAGCTGCAAAATTCTCCACCAAAAATTCCTATTATTGATGGCAAACTTGTGAATAATCAAATCTGTAAACATCTTAAAGAGCCTTTTTTTTTTTTTTTTTTTTTTTTTTTTGCATGGCTGATGCTGATATTCAGGAGAGTAACTCATTGTCCCTTTTTGGCTTTGTGTTTTCCACTAACATTAAGTGGAATGATTATATTGAATCAATTGTGAAGTCTGTTGCTAAGAAAGTTGTTAACTGTGTTGTGCGAGACAATTTTTCCCTACAGAATCTATCATACATATCTATAAGTCTACCATTCGTCCATGCATAGAATATTGCTACTACACATGATTCAGTGCCTCTGTTATTTACCTTGAACTTCTTGATAAAATCCAAAGAATCAGCAATAAATATCCTGACATAATAGCTATCAATACAAATGAATGGCACATGACGCTAAAGTTGGTCTCTCACCAAAGGCAAACCAGAACTCTCTCTCCAATTACAAGCATGACTTTTAATACAGACCAGCACCCAGATATACCCTATTTATGGTTTTGTTGCTACTTGATCTCCAAAAAACACTCATCCATTACTTTACTTTCCTGTTCCTCTTTGGTCAAAGTGGATTCTGCCTAAAGACTGAACTTCAAAAGGAACCATTTGTTGGTCCATCAAACAGAAATATGCAAGAAAGAGATAAAACCATTTCTTTCCTTTTTACTTGTAATTCATACTATTACACTCCTTATGTATATAGAAAGTTCCACTAGACAGTTTTTTTCCATCCCCCCAAGAACTGCAACTTTGTGGAACAGACATGACCATGAATGCTTTCCTGAACACTATACTTAACCTCTTTAATTCAAAGTTCAATTGTTATTTTTCCTCAGTTTTAACTTCCTACCACCTCTTCTTTTGTTAACATTATTCCTCTACCTTGCAAGGGATGAATTTAGTATTAAGAAAAATACTTTAGGGAAGCATATTACTGAGAAAATAACTCTGATAAACCTGCAGTTCTGAAAATTTCTGGTTATGATTAAAGTTTCCTTTTTAATTTATTTTTAAACCTTTTTAATTTCTGTATTTTCAGGTGTCTACCAGCACAAAGAAGGAAGTTTCTTGGGTGGTCATGCTATCAAAATCTTAGGTTGGGGTGTTGAAAATGGAATCCCTTACTGGCTTGTGGCTAATTCCTGGAATCCTGATTGGGGAGATAAAGGTAAGTAAATATTTGTTGATTTATTAATTACTTTTAATGGGTAAATTTTTTTTATTTATTTTTTTTTAATTTTTTTTTATTTATTTATTTTTTAAATTTTTATTTACATACACTTGGACTATTGTTCTCATCTTTGTCTTTAGCACATTTTGGCTGTTGTGCCCTCTAGTCTTCATCATGTGCATATTGATCCAGCTAACCTTCAGGGAATTTTTAAATTAGCCCTTTGTTTAATCTATTGGCTTAGATTGTTCTTGTTCCACTGACCATGTCTATGGATATCTTATCTAGTTCTTATTTAGTATTATTCAACTTTTTGTCATTTGAAAAATCTGACATTAAACGAGCAGTAGATTTCATATCATTCTAGTTGGGAAATGCTAGATTTTAAAAGTTTACAAATGCACTTTCATTTTATCTAATAGGAGGATAATGACATTTATGACTCTCATGAAAGCCTCAATGTTTGTAAACATAAAAAGGAGTCAATCGTAGTTGGGATTGAGTCAATGTGAACGATCTTTTCCTTAGCTGCATAGTATGTGCTTCACCAGGGTTACATGCAGTTTGGGAATTCATTTTTTCTGCTCCTAGACTGGTTGCCACTCATTCTGTCCTGCTATTTACCCATAGCTGGGGGAGAACAGTTGGATTCTTTACCTTTCCAAAGGGTATTAGCCTGTAAGTGAATGTAATGAAATCGACTGGAATTCACTCAGCTCTCTGATTCTGAGCTGCAATCTATTACTCTACATTGCCTTCCATAAACATAAACTATAATTTAAATTTTTAAGGATTTTTTTTTTTTTTTTTTTTTTTTTTTTTTAAATTCATATTTTTACAGACTTAAAATGTGGAAACAAATTATAAAGAAAAAAAATTGTAGATTTAATGAACAAGCATAAATATAACTGTTAACACAAATAAGTTTTTGCTATGTCAGTTTGGGAAAGGCTTCTCTTTTCATTAGTATCTATGGATAAAATAGCAGGGCAAACTGTGCTCATCAATTTTTATTGGCTACCAATCGAAGAATTATTTTGTATTTAGAAACCAGGAATGAAAAGCCATCGAAATGGCTAAAATATGAAGTAACATTTCCATTCTGTAAAAAAAAAAAAAAAAAAAAAAAAAAATTAATATATGATTAATTAATATTTTAACTTAATATTTTTTAATGTAGTAATTAGTTAAAATTTTAAGTTTAACCATTTAAGTTAAAATATAATTAGCTTAAAAGCAGAAGGACAGATTGAATGCAAAGAAATATCTTAGGCTATTGTTTTCAGATAATTAAGTCCCAGCAATAAAAATTGTCAATATTAGATCTTTTTATTTTAATTTTTTTTTTTTTTTATATTTTTTTTTTTTTTTTTATTTATTTATTTTTTTTTGTTGTTTTGAAATTGTTTACACTAGTTACAAAACTTAATCTACTCACCATCAAAAAAAATTTTTGATCAGGTAAAAGAAATAACACAGTTGTTCCGCCACATTATCCTCAGTTTAAACACCCCTGTCTCTCTGGCTGTTGCATTCTCCCCTGTCTCTCTGGATAATGATCCCAATACTGAAGAATATTGATGCTGGTAGTATGCCATATAGAAACCGTAAAATTACAAAGATTTAAGTTCTTCACTTAATAAGAAAAGAAACTAAATTGTATGCTGAGTTTGTGAAGATCTACAACATTGTTTCTCAATTTGGTGTACTAAAATTCATTCCTTTATCATCAAAGGGCTGCTGGACTTAGGAAAGGTTGAGGAAATAATTTGTAATAAGAGCATCTTTTATTTGTCACAGCTTTTATCATATTGTTATAGTTTTTCTAGTTCATTATTCTTGTTAATCTCATATGATTACTATTTAAATTAAAATTTTTCATATGCATAAGATGGTAGAGGATAGCAAAAGAAATTGTTTATAGTTACTTTGTTCAAACTTTTTTTTTTTTTTTTTCAATAAATTTAATTCTTTGAAAAAAAAAAAAATTATATTTAGTTTTTGCTTTTAGCTGTAGATGAATGTTTTGGAATATATGCTACAGAAGTAATGTGAAATGATTGGAAAATATATTTGAAAGAAATAAATTGTTTAAAGTCTTATTTTCATTTTATTTTGGCTCTTTCAGGTTTCTTTAAGATCAAACGTGGATCCAATGAATGTGGCATTGAAGACAGTCCTGTAGCCGGTATTCCGAGTGTGTAAGACATCCTGTCACAGATACATTCCTGTCTTTGCAACTTGCTTCTAAAATTCTTGGAAGTTTCAACTTTATTATTATTATTATTATTATTGAGAAAAAAGTAGCCAACACCATATTTGGATTGGGAGCAGTGACCAGACAATTAACAGAACTTCATCCATTTTTTTTTTTTTTTTTTATCAATCATTACTCTGTCAATGACATCAGCTTCCATTTTTGATAACTTTTCTCTTTAAAATTTAAAAAAAAAAAATCTTGATCTTTCAAATGGGGAAATAATTTATATTTTTTATATGTATTTCTATGAATATGTATACACACACACATACACACATATGTTCATTCTGATTGAATAAATTTTTTTATTTGTATTCTTTGTTCATTTGTGCTCAATAACTCTGATTACAAAGCCGATTCCTGGCTCATCATTAACATTTACTTTGCTCCAATGCTCTTTCTTTTCATTATCTTTTTTTCACTGAAAACAGACAGCATCTCTATATGTCTGTCTTCTGGCAATCAAAATTAGGCACACAGAATAATATTTCAATTAGCTGCTATCTAACGTAATGTATAAGTTAAGTTCCTCTCTCGGATCAGTATTAGTACAAACATTTTGAGAAGTGGGCTGCATTGACAGATCACAGACCGACACACACACACACACACACAGATACAGGCACACAGACACACACACACACACACACACACACACACACACACACACCTCTTCAATTCCTCAATCCACTACTCCACCATGCCTCCATTAGATTCACTTACATGCCAATAAGGTATTAATCCTATTCTTCTCCATCCAGCTACAGGTAAATAGGACAGACTGGTTTCTATAGCCTTGGATGGCATCTAGTCTAGGAGAAGGACAACTCTGAATTCAAAACCTGTGTAGGGTTTTGGGGACCTAGTGGCACATAGTGCACCAGGGCTTTGTATTTGGCTCTTCAAAAAATGTGGTTCTGCACAGACACTTTCTGTGACCACATCAATCCTTACATCTGGTCATCTAATTCATCAGGCTGCACCCCCCGCCCTTGATTATTATGTGTAGGGTGCAGTTAAGCAAAAAATCAATGAAAGTCCTTGTAACACCAAAGATGGCAAGGATTATGGAAGCATTAAGGAGACTGTCCAGAAGAGATGCAGATGATTCTGAAGTTGTCTGGAGGTCAAAATTGAAACCAATGGCGCTTTTATTGAATCTTTAGTATTTCAAAATGTTTTTGTGTAATTTTGGTAAATATATCTGTTAAAATGAGACGTCAGTGTCATTTTCAATATTGCATAATTTATACGACAATTTATCCATCGCACCCAGTATAATAAATGTTTTCCATGTAAAACAGCCACTCAGTTTGAACCAACAGAAATAAAATCATAATTACTAAACTATTTTATCTGTAACTTAAAAAAAAAAGTAATGGTTGTATTTAAATACTTTTGCAATTGCACCTATTTTTTTTTTTTTTTTTTTTTTTTACACGAAAAATCTTGCACTTTTTATATCTACTGTCATATGTAAGAAAGTATTAAAAATTTGTTCTCACAACCTACCTAAACAATAAGATATCATTAGTAACACAAGTCATTTTCACTTATTGATAATGAATGACATCTATTACCGTATTAACGGAATATGTCATTAATAACATCAAACTATGTGGCCAATAAATAAATTGTTTTATAGAATAAATTGAGACATTTTTTACCTGTAGAACTACTTTTAATGGTAATAATGAGGATTAAGATCTTTTAAGATTAACACCTTAAATGTAATACTTTAGTTGAGGACAGGCTTGTTGTTCCGGTCACGAAATGTAACACTACACAGTGTGCCTTTCCATGGTAACTTTAGGGTCCAGAAACTCAGTGCATATGCTACAAAATCTCTTAAGTTGGCCTAGCACAGAAATGAATACAATATGGGAACCAGTAATGCAGAGTGCGAGAGAAAAACAACAATAATAAAAAAAAATCATATGATCTCCCTTAAAGAAACGAAAATTGAGACATTAGGTTTATAATTTCCAAAGTCTTATACACTCACATGGCCCAGTGAATAAAAGTGTTGGTTGAATCCAGTGATTTGACTCGGTTGTGAGTACTGCAGAGGTGAGCAAAAAACTGGGAGAGGGTTGTGAGTACTGCAGAGGTGAGCAAAAAACTGGGAGAGTTGAATTAAAGGGAGATAACTGATACTGAAACATCATGGCATGGCGAACTAGAACGAAATCGGGTTCAGTTCGAAATTCCAATCACCTGAAGTGGCAATGCAGATAAGGATAACAGTCTGAACAATGTGAATAATTACAATATCTTATCTCAGAAATCTAGACAACGCGTAGTTTATCTTGGCTGTTTTTTTTTTTTTTTTTTTTTTTTTTTTTAAATCGTTCTAACTAGCGACTTTCTTTTCCTAGTTCTAATGTTTGAGAACAGCACACCGTAATCTGAATTTTGACGTGCTTGTTTAAAATTAGAATCATAGGCACATATGAGAAATAAATATTATATAATTATCTGCCCTTGGCAGTTTAAGGTTAGCTAATTAGCTCACAGCTGCTGATTGGTGCACTTTTCTACCTTTTTTTTTTTTTTTTTTTTTTTTTGGTAACCTTCGGAATGACCACATGCTGAACGGGTCATCTCTACACCCGTAGATGGCGAGATAATCAATTTACTCTCAGCAGATAAGTTTGGTCGCAGACACCATTAAATTTGCAAAGACCAAGTTGTAATGCTGACTAATATAATTATGTACAAATCATAAGTCAGTTGCGTTCTACTCTTTATTTATTACTACGTCTGCATCCATCACGTGGGGATTTTATATGGGGCCCATAGATGTTTGCATATAGATGTTTATTCGTCTTCCCTATTTTCAAAGTAGTTATCTGGTAATATGTTCATTCATAGCTGCTATTGCGATCTACTTTTTTTATGTTTCTATATCGCCCTCAACCCACACTTCTTTACTATCGTTTGTGGATCTCCCTACAATATCTTCTTTTTTTTTTTTTTACAGTGAGGTTTAACCTGTACACAGAGTCCACTCGAGGTAGAAAATTACAGAGTAAGAGGCACAGTTTATGCAGATATGAGGGGAAGATAACAATTAACCTTAGACTTGAACAGGCTAAGACTGTAGTGAGCGAGAAAACATTCTCTTGGGAGTCGGTTCCACAGTGCAGCGGTTCGCGGGAAGAAGCTGCTCGAGTGGAACTTACTTCTTACTAATGGAATACGGGGACAATGAGGGTGGTTCGCTACAATGTGGGTGGCATGGCGAATCCTAGGAGTGAAAGTTAGAATTGTTAGAACAAAGGAAAAAAGTTCGTCTGAGCACTTTCCATGGAAGTTAGCGATAGAACAGTGAGAGATTTATCACATCCCGTCTGTGAGAGAAGGTCGACGGGGTGGAAAATAATTTGTCACCAGCAAGGACGCGGAGACTCTCTTAGACTCTATTGAAACTAGAAAGTAAGGACTGGTCAGTTCCTGTCCAAATATGACAGCAGTACTCTATTTTAGGCCTGATCTGGCTCTTGTAAAAGTAGAGGATAGCACCAGGAGTTAAGTACTTACTAGAGCAGTACAGAGAACCAACCATTTTTTCTGCATCTTTAGATGAATCGTATGTACGAGTTCCGCTTGAGATCTGGGTTGATTTTGAGGCCCATCGAGGTCTCGATGAATGGAGGTTCCCTCAGGGAACATCCATTCATCGAGACTGGCGGGAGTTCGGCAATGATGGAATGTAACTAGTTTGGTTTTCGTGGCATTGAAGGTAACCAGCCAGTCCCCCCCCCTACTGCCATGTTAAACCTAGGTTGGAGGTTCATCCATATAGCGTTGTATCGTCAGCATAGATATAATCAGAGTATACTCTTAAGCATATCATTTACGAGTACCACTTGAAGTCTGGGGTGAGTTTAAGCCCAAATAGTCGCTCAAGGCATGTAAACTCCCCGAGGGGACATCCATTCATCGTGACTGGTGGTAGTTTGGGGCCCGATCGGCGATCATGGAATGTAAAAAGTTTGTACCTATATTGATTTTCTAAGGCCGAACGTATGGGGTACCCAGTGAGGATCGCACTCACTATTCAGTTGTAACTGTTTTAGCAAGACTAGCTTGCTAACCATTACACCATGCCGTGGTGCCCAACTAGTTTGTACTTATATATGGATTTCAGTTTGCCAGTTTGTTATCAATGATGCATTGTTAAGACTTTATCATTAATTTACTTTTTTTAAGGGTGTCATTTATTCTTAAAAGTTCGTCATTTGACCGATTTCTGATAATCTAATGCCTGAAGACTGCTTCCTTCGAAACCACTGGCGAATATGTCTTTATATGAACAAATCTCATAGCTCATTGCTTGGCTTTGCCAAGTTTTCCGGAAGCCATTTCTCTGAAATGTTTCTGCTTAAGAAACAAGTCGCTATGACTTTTTAAAAAATAATTTCACCCTAAGCAAGTTAATAAAGGCACTAGGACGCAAGAGGTTACTGAATGTTAGAGAATATGAAAAAAAAATATTAAGGAGAGAGGACAATAAAATAATAATAAGACAGAAGATAACGATTGACATTACTTTTAAATGTTTGAAGATCAAAGTTGACTGGGAAGCAAGAAACTGGAAGAGAGAACCATTTTAAATTTAAATTGATGAGACCTTGCCACCAATCGAGTACTGCGCTTAAATTCATAAAGCCTAGGTACCAAAGAGGAAAGTAATATTTATTTTGAAAAATACAAAAATGTTGCACAAGGCCAAAAGTGGGGATAGGGGAAGGCTGATCTCCAATCTTAAATTTTGCTAGCCACGATTACATACCACAAAGAAAAAAGTTCATCAGAATAATTACTATGAAATTATTTATCGAAAAGACACACGGAAGCTACGTTACAGCGGTGGGAAAGGGACTGAAGTCGTGATGCCAGGTCAGAACTTATATACTTTGCAGATTATTCTTTGGATTTT